TTGCCCTCTCTTGTTCAAGTGTGTAATCAGCATGTCTGGGTCTCACTTGTCTTGTATGACACTTGCCCAGCATGTTCACTTAGTTCCCTTACCCCTCCCTTAACTGGTATAACCATGCAGTGTCAAAGTTTGTTCAACAAAACTCTTGTCTTCAACATGATCCTGCTGCACTCTTCCCTAAGTTTTAAATGTCTGTTACCATGACTGATTTGTTCAATAGACTCATAGTTGTTCTGTATATTTGTTGTATCAAATGTTTCCCCATTCATGTGGTTTCAAACCTATATGTTCCCAATCCCTCCCTTCCCTGTTTGTGTGTGAATTATGTATGTTGATTTGGTTTTGAGTCGCTGATTGTCCTGTTTCTTTTCGTTTCACTAAGGCAAACTCTTCTATTGCTTTCCAAAACTTATTTCAAACTAATCATTATCAAAAACTGTTTCCAACTCAACTCTTTTAAATCTATGTCAAACACTCTCACATATACTCTTAGACCACTAGGTTCTGCCCCTTTTGTGTGAGCCTTGCCTTGGGACCCTTGAGCTCCCTCTGAACTTGGACACATGAAAGTTGGCCTTTCCACACTGCACTTACTCTGTATTGGCTATGAAATCTGGGTGTGAGCACTGCCCGGGATCCCTTGAGGTCCTTAGGGAACTCTGACACACCCAGATATGAGAAAGACTATGGAACAATCTTGGCACTTGAGGTGATTTATTATATAACTCAAGGAGGAAGTCCTAATCAAGTGCTGAAAGTTTGGGCTTATTTCAGGCTCTCTATAGTGTAATTTTTACTTTTCTTATGTAATTGTTTCAGTATTGGTCTATAACAATTATTTGTAAACGACTCCAGGGTTGGATAGTGAAAAGGGGTGGGTAATATGCATGTTGTAGTATAAGTCAAGGTAGAAACTATGCCTATAGGACTTTACATTTTACTATATTTGCCTTACCATGTTAGAAACCATGCCTATAGGGTTTTACTATACTTGCCTTACCATGTTAGAAATCATGTTTAATAGGATTTTACTACATTTGCCTTACCATGTTAGAAATCATGTTTAATAGGTCTCAAAATCAGTTTCACAAATAGATGCCATACCTATAGGATTTAATCCTGCTTCTGTTATAACAAGTGTTACATGTCTTCTTTCATTTGTCATCACGCTTGTAAAGTTTCTGAAATCAGTGTTAAACAACTAGATGTCATGCCTATAGGTAATAACTCTAGAAATTCTGCCTATAGGTCTCAACTAGTTTAGTTAAATAAATCAACCCAGTCCACATTTTAGTTCGTTTCGAAACTGGTTTAATTAATGGTTTATTTTCTCTAAAACAAGTTCTTTAAAAAACTGCCTTGATTTGTCATTAGATATCATGCCTATAAGGATTCAAGAGTTCGCTTTGAAAAAACCTGCCTTGTTCACTATATAAAATGTAGTCATCTGTATTCCGCGCCTAGGCAAGCCTTAGGCAATCAACTTTAAAAAAACCAGAACCGTCTTTGTGATTAATGTTTAACTGTCAACGTGTTAAAATCAGTAGGCAAGCCTGATTCGGACTTCTTTTCTGAGTCATGTAATAATTCTGGTTCTACTGTTATCACTTAAATACCTTGTTAGGATCTGAATTTAGACCTTAATTGTGTATGATTCATGCTGTCTACGTGCATTACTTGTGGAGGTATATCTGGACCTTTTATCTGATTTCTGTGTTTTACCCCCTAAATGTAGTCCTATGTGTTCTTATCTGTCGCCTAGTATTTTGCCTTTAAACTTGAGGGTCTGCCTAGAACCCCCTTTTTATAGGATATGAGTCTTAAATTCCTCCGGGACTGATAGGAAGGGACGGACAACAACATGCAATAGGGGTCGAGACTAATCTTTGCTTTAATTACCTTCACGGTACGGGAAAGGGTAGATATGGATATGATGACCGGTGCATTAATACCACGTGTAGCCCCTCTTTGAGGAGTGTCATACCGGGTATTGCATTGATGTGATCCGTATTATAAACAAACCTAGGACACCCCTCTTTCATTGACGAATATGCTTAGATTGTAATTCCTTTCAAAATCTCGCTTTTTCACTAATTGTTTTTCAAACACTTGTGTATTTAAACTTAAATCCCTTACTATTTTAGCCATACTTGTTTATTTGCTAATTGTACAAATTCACAAAAACTGTTTGGCCGGGAATCACACTAGTGGATCCTGAGGGGTGCCTCATACCTTCCATTAGGATAATTTCAAGCCCTTATCTTATCTCTGGTTACCAAACGTAGTTATAAATGAACCTTATAGGTGCCCTAACACACCTTAAATTGTTAGGTGGTGATCTCCAAAAATGCAAACCCATTTCCCAAAAGGAAAGAATTGTCCCATACCAAAATGTCATAAACCCGATTCCGCGAGGAAAAAAGGGGGCGCGACAATTGGTAGTGGTGGAGATTATGATTGAGGATGGTGGTTGTGGGTGGTGATAGTTAATAATGGCGGGTGGAGGTAATAGTTGTGACTGAGGAAGGCAGTGGGTGGGTGGTGGTATGTTATAAGATGGGCAGTACCGGCTGTGGTTGTTGATGGTGATGGGGTGGTCAGTTGTGGTAGCTGAGGTGGATAAGTGTTGATTGTGGTGAGAATGGTGATGGTTGGAGTGGTGAGGATAGTAGGTGGAGATGATTGATAATGGTGGCGGCTATGATTGAGGATGATGGTGGGTGGTGGAGGGGTGCTAGTGGTGGTTGAGTACGGTGGTGGTGGTGGCATGACGGTAGCTGATAATGGTAGGCGGTGACGATAATTAATAATGAATATGTGATAACATTTTAATGAAATTAAATCGTTTTTATAGATTTTAATCATAACACTAAGTGATTGTGAAGTAAAAAATAAATGCACTTAATATTTGTGATCTGGATATCGAATGCTCCAGCAAACAAATGATAACGCTAGCGGAAAAGGGAATATACCACAAAACAGAAACCATAAACCCTATTTCTCTCTGTCCCTCTCCCAATAAAGAAAATGCCGTCATTTCCTCGAGCAGGCTCAGTTACCATCTGCGAGATCAACCGAGACCTCAGTATGGAACCCCTTTCACGTTCGGTTATTTGGCTTGTTTTTCCTTTTTACCATTTATTTCAAACAAACATACATGGCCCGATTGCTCTATTTTGCTTTAGAAATTCAATGGTTCTTCAACTTTGCATTTGAGTTTTCTTTTGATTAAATTTCAGTCACTGCGGATGAACTCTCTGATGATGGAGCTAAGGAAACCTACGGCAAGCTTCTGGTAAGTTCTTGAACTTGTAAAAGAATTCTGAAAGATGAATGGCTTACTACGATCAATACCCAATTAGTTAAAGTGGAAGTGAGTTAAAATATTGTTAAAAATTCATCCAATTAGGGTTGGTTTGCAGTTCTTTTTTTATTTGGGTTCTGTTTGTTTTCCGTAGAATTGGTATTGGACTGATTTCCTGCTATTGTTTATGCTAGACGGTGCTTATTCTCTCTATTTGGTGGTGCTCATATTATGAGTATATTCCTATAGTTGGTACAAGAAATAGTTGTGAAGTGGTGCAGATACTGAATTTCAGAGGAAAAAGAAGCTAAGTCTCAGTTAAAGCTAAGAAGAGAAGAAAACTAGGGCAACAACAAGATACTTTCCTCGCATAGGTAGTGGAGGGACTAAAACTAAAAGAAAACTGAGAAGCTAAAATTTAAACAACATAAGTAATTAGACTAATGTGGAATAAAAAGAACTATGGTGTATCTAATAATATCATCAGCTTCACAATATTAGCATCTTCCAAACTTGTAGCAGTAGCATATGTGTCAGATCCCTCCCCTTAAAATAACCCTTGTCCTCAAGGGTGGTAATTCCACCAGAATCAAATGGAAATTTTGACGAATCATAAAAAACTGGAAGACTTTGATCCTTAGCTGCAATAGACCACAACAGTCCTTCAAAAGGCACTAGTGGAAAGTTGGCAAAATTGTGTTTAATTCCTCTTCAGCAATGTTTCAATACCAGCTGGAGTACAAGATTTCTCATAATTTTGACATGCTTCAGCAACGAGAGAAGCAACCTCAACGTCTTGGTACTAGCGTTATCAATTGTAATTTCAGTGTTATAGTCATGAAACAGCTCAGCAAGATTACCTATAACTTCAGTATTGATCAAAACAATTGTAGGCTGGTGCTTTTGATAGTGATGAAGTCCAAGAAACTGAAATTTCATATTCTCAGGTGGCTACGATCCATTCCCACAGTTACTACTTGTTCAAGAGTATTTGCTGCTTCTCAAACAGCTGCAGCTTCTCCCATGTCAAACTTCATTAGCTCATGCAAACCCAGGTCCAATCTTGATGTTATATCCATCATTGTCAAAAACTAATCCCTTTCCAACCATTAATACTCCTTCCTCCGCATTAGCTTGCACTTCTGAATGTGTTAACTACAATGTTTTTGAGAGCGCGAAGCGCAAAAAAGCGACAAAGGCTCGCTTCGCTTCAAAAGCGAAGCGCACGCTTTATTAAAGTGAAGCGCAATTCTTAAAAAACATTATGTAAAATTATAAATAATCAAAAACTTCAATTTAAAAACTTAAAAGTAGGTACTAGGTACCACAAATCATCCACAAACCATAGGACAAGCAGAATCAAAGCTACTAAATTACTAGAATCAACATCTTATTCTTCTACTCTTCTTCTTCTTCTTCAAGATTGTCCAGTGTTAAAAATAGCGTGAAGCGAGGAAAAGCGACAACCCCCATTTCACGAAGCGAGAAGCGAGAAGCGAAGCGCCCGCTTTTTTGAAGTGAAATTAAAAAAAAAATTAAAATAAATACGGCATAGACAACACATGTAATTGTAAGCAAATGTTCAATACTTGAATTAAAAAACTAAAGAGTAGCATCAATTAAAGCACAAAATGAGCATCCTATTCTTCTACAAGATTGTCAAGAGTAGCATCAATTAAAGCACAAAATGAGCATCCTATTCTTCTGCAAGATTGTCAAATTCTTGTATTCCACTATCATTATTATATTGCTCGTCATCTTCTTCATCAACTAGGGACAAAGTAGCTGCCTGTTTTCCCTTCCTCTGTGAACTTGAAGTTGAGGTACTCCCCCTCAAACCATAAATCCTCTCCCCAATTCCACGCGTCTCCGCAACATCACCCCAAGTGATATCAGAAGTATCCTCAAATACTTCTTCATCTGCATGATCTTCCGGGACTCCAGTTAGCCATTCATTAGCATCATCGATGTTGTCCAAACTAATTGGATCAATTACATTGCGAGCGTTGTAACGACGCCTCAATGTTCTATTGTACTTAATGAAGACTAGATCATTGAGACGCTTCAAGGTTAGTTTGTTCCTCTTTTGGTATGAGTCTGCCAATAATAAGTAATTAGTAAGATTAGGACAATTGAGATATAATTTAATTATCTCAATATACTAAATCTTTCTTATTAGTTCTTACATGCTCAAACACGCTCCAATTCCTTTCACACCCGGCTGAGTTACATGTTAGACTTAGAACCTTGATGGCAAACTTTTGTAAATCTGGAGTAGAATGACCATATTGTAGAAGTAGAACAAATTTTCAAAACATAATATTAATAAAGAAATAACTTATTAACTATAAAATAACATATAAGCACTCGCTCACCTGGTGACTTCGTCGTTCTTTGTCTAATGGCCATGTTTTTTCCAAAAAGTTGTTCAGCATTCCTATAAATACTAAATTGCTCTGTGATTTTATCTTGCACTGATTCTTCAGGTATCAACTTCTCAATGCATTCATAGTAATCATTCCACAAAGGTTCATCTCCTAGAATCCTCTCTTCATTGGCATAAAACAGTTCCGGGTTCAAAACAAGTCCAGCTGCATGCAAAGGGCTATGAAGCTTACTATCCCACCTTTTATCTATGATCTCAAAGACTCTTTTGTATTTTCTTTGATCACTAAAAGAGTCTTGAATAGCCTCCTTTCCCTATCAATTGCTTCGTACAAGTAGCCCATTGGTGGCCTTTGCTCCCCATCCACCGAAGCACTTTAACTAAAGGACCACCAATCTTCAATGCATGAACCACATTGTTCCAGAATCAAGGAGAAAGTATAATATCTGCAGATTCTCTCCCTCGAGCTTCCCTTCCACAGGCACTGCTAGTGTACTCATCTGAAACAAACAACTTCTTCAAATTGCTTTTTTGCTCATACATCCTAGCCAAAGTCAAGAAAGCAGTAGCAAATCTTGTCTTTGCAGGTTTCACCAAGCTTCTTTGTTTAGTGAATTTCTTCATCATGTTCAATAATAAAGGCCTTTGAACAATATAGGAATGCACTCTAATTGCCTGACTAAAGACAGTACTGAAGGGTCTTTCCTTGAAAATGTCACCAAAGATCAAATTAACAGAATTTGCTGCACACTGTGTCCAATAGATATGCGGGTACGCAGCAGACATCAAATCACCAGCTTCAACATTTTCACTGGCGTTGTCCGTGACAACTTGAACAACATTTTCTGCTCCAATAGAGTTTATTTTACTCTTGAACAAGGAGTACATTTTGGTTGAATCAGTCGAAGAGTCGCTTGCATGAACGGACTCAAGAAACAGGCTTCCCTTAGGAGAATTCACCAAGATATTGATGATCATTTTTCCATTTCTCGCTGTCCACTTATCCATCATAATAGAACAACCAAACCTGTTCCATTCTACTTTGTGCTCCTCCACGATTTTGTTCACCTCTGCTACCTCTTTTTGTAGATATGGCCCACTAACTTCATAATAAGTTGGAGGCTTCATTACTGGGCCATATTGGCCTACGACCTCAATAAAAGCAGCAAAAGTGTCAGTATTATTAACACAATTAAAAGGAAGACCTGCATCATATATCCACCGGGCAAAAAAGGTTACTTCATGGTCCCTCAAAATTGCTTTTGCATCAACTTGAGGATTACCACTTTTTCCTTCCTTATCTCCAGATTTTCGCGAGAAGTAACAATCCATAGGACCTTTGGTCTTGCCAGTAGATCCACAACTAGAAGACATTGGTGGAAGCATCCTTCCCTGCTTTTGTGATTTTGGTGGAAGCGACAAAGCATTGTCACCTTCTTCTGTTTCATCATCATCGTCATCAAGATTATAAAGTTCTTGTTCATGAATCATTTGAGTGTTTAACTATTTCTTTTTTTGAAGGTATGCTTTCAGTTCTTCCTTCACATGCCCTAGAACTTTAGGACAAGATGCGACATTTGGATCACCACCGATTAGATGGGTTTTTTGACGATAGATTCCTCCCTTTGTAATCTTATGACAAAAAAGACATCTAATGGCCATCTTGTTGGTCTCGTTAACTCTTTCAGAGTAAGCCCAAGCCGGGTCTTTCCTATCTTCTTTTGGCGCCATTAAAATAACAACTGCATAACATATAAGAAAGGCAATAAGAACTAAGAATAAAAAATATATAATTGGGCAGAAACTGGGCAGAATTTGGGCAGAATTTTCTGAAAAAGTTTCGCCAGCATTTCGGCACTTTTTGGACGTTTAGAAAGAAAAAGAAAAAGAAAAAGAAAAAGAAGAAGAAGAAGAATAAGAATGAAAATAAAAACATACCTGTTGAAACTTGAAAGTTGTTGTTGACTTGTTGTAATGTTGAAGAAGAAGAAGAACCCTAGTTTGCTTGAACAAATCGTTGCTTCATGTGAGGAAAAAATTGCTGGTTTTTTGAGGAAGAAAAGGCTGGTTTATAACCCTAGGTTGCTGCTGAAGAATGACTAAAACAGAAGACTCACTCGATTTGGGTCTTTTAATTGAAAAAGACTCGTTTGGGCTTTTATTTCCAGAAGCGCTCGCTTCTTCCGCTTTCTACCGCTTCACCGCTTCACCGCTTCTCGCTTTTTTGGCAGAAGCGGTCGCTTTTCTCTACCTGTGTCGCTTTTATCTGGGTAGCGCCCAACCCGTCGCTTCGCTTCGCTTCTCGCTTAAAGCGATGAAGCGGGCGCTTTTTTTAACACTGCCGCAACGAACATCAAAACTGAATCCTCCCCAAGACCTCTATGTACCCCGTAAGGCATGTTACATCATGCATCCACCGACCCCTTGCCCAAAATCGTACTCGATGAAACCTTCCTAAAGTAGAACAATAAACAAATATGCAGAAAATAACGATACTAGAACATAACAAAAAAGAGTATAAGAAATAAATATGCGAAGTAGTAAATGATTACTAGAAGAAATCACGATCAATATTCCTCAATATCACGACCAATCCTTTCCTTAAAGCTATAACCAACAAACCAGGATAGTAAATTCATAACTTTTATAGTGTGAGAAATGTACTCAAGATATCAAATCAAATGGCACGGAAACACCCTTCGTGCATTTATCTCATTCTCACCAAATATACGTATAACAATACCAACCAGGTGAAAGAAATACCAGTAACTGTAATGACAAAGTGGGAATTACACAGGTAGCAATAACGAACAAGGGAATACATATGGACAATGGTAACAGACTAGGTAGAAGGCATAGAAGTAATGACAACAATTAAGATAGAAGAACATAAATTTCATTAACTAACATGGGAGAAGGCTTAGATGTATATATAACAAATAAGAGGGAAATCATGATCTTTATAAGCTAAACAATTAGAAGGCATGAATAACTAACATGATAGAAGGCTTAGATGTTGATATGACAAGCAAAAAGGAAAGCATGATATTTACAAGTTGAACAGACAATTGAGGTAAGGACGAAGACAGAATAACAACGACAAGTCACATCGAAAACATAGGTGCAACGGTAACAACTCAAGATAAAGGCATGAATGTATACATAAGGAAAAGATACCACAGTATAATGCATGTCTCTCATCCTCGCCTGCATGGAAACACCCTTCGTGCCATGAACACATGATAATATAAATGAAATGGCACGGCATCATCCTTCGTGCTTTCCTCACATGGCACGATATCACCCTTTGTGTTTTTACTCTCATATGGCACGACATCACCCTTCGTGCTTTACGCTCTTCCTCACATAATAATGTATATGAAATGGCATGGCATCATCCTTCGTACTTTACACTCTTCCTCACCAAACACATGTATATCAATAACAAGCAAGTTAGGAAGCATGAATAACATCAAGGAGAGTGATTAAGCGAATATTCCAAATCAACATCAATCACAGCTTTCAAGCCAATAACAATTTAACAAACCTCAAGAACCTTATTATTCAAGTATCTCAACAAGTCTCAAAAATGATCTTCAACTCAAGTATAGAATCCAATATCTCAAGAATAAATGTCGTAGCGGTGTATTTGTAATTAAGTATAATGACGACCGAATTTAGCACATCAATAATTTCACAAAGTCCGTCAAATTTTAATCAAGTTATAATAAGCTAAATCATGTTTTCTAGCATTTATTTCATAATCATAGTAATCTAGAAGTCATATAAGACATGAAGCATGAAGGTCACATAATCCTACATGGCACAAATAATCGCATATTTTACCCCCGATCATGATTAACCCTGGCACATGCATATACGCTCGTCAGCTCATATATATATATCACCCCTGCATGTAGCAAACAATATCAATTAGTAGGAAAAATTTCTCCAACAAAGTTAGGCAAGGCACGTGCCTCATTTCGGGATAATTTTCACAATCTAATACTGTCTTCCATAGAAATATCCTCAAAACGATCAAAACATAGTCAATTATCATCTAAAAAGTCAAATAGTGCTAAAGGAAACATCCCCGTCAATAAAGATTCAATCTTATATGAAATGGTCTCGTACATAATTAGAGTGAGTCTATACAAAATTAAGATGCCCTATGAGTCGAACGCATCACCTTCAGGACGAAGAGTTTCTTGTCTTGTCAGCATCTTTTAGTCTATGGAAGAATGTTCTGGTGAAATTTTCACTACTAGAAAATAGGCCTATGGCAACGCTACAATTTCCGTTTCCATAGGATGGACAACCGTTGTGATACACCTAGTCACGGTTTAGGGTCTGTTTTGGGATCAAGTGTCGCTATAGGGCTATTGCAACGGTTACCTGACTGTTGGCATAGGAGCTTCTATTGCGACGATTTTATTATGATCAATTACGACGACTAGTAGTGGGTTAGGGCAATGGTCTAGAACCGCCGCTATATGTGTATTGCAACGACTGAGAATTGTTGCTATAGACATTACAACTTTTGCCGATACTGTTTTATTTTATCTATTGAAACGGTTATTACAAGCTACTGCAATGGTTATAAGGAGCTACCACAACGGTTATAAGGAACTACTGCAACGGCTGTTAGGAGCTATTAGCAGTTGTTATTGATCACCTATCGCAACTGGATAAATATATAATACACTGAAATTAATGTATAATGGATGAAATGAAAATATATTCATCATTAAAATCATAATTTAAAATATACAACTACGATTATCCATTTATAAAGCAAAATATTCGATAAAAAGTACTATTTAATAATTTAAGAGTTGGTATATATAAGTTTGCAAAATAGTTCAAAAATAAAAACATTCCTAAATTGTCTGAAGATTGTACAACCAATACTTTTAGGTAAGTTCTTCACTGCTTTCATCTCCCCCTTGATCATTTGGTTCACCTATAAATTCAACAAAAACAACAATAATCGGAGGATAGGAAAAAGGAAAAATATTTCCTTCTCAATACTACAATTATTGTACTATATATTAACACCAGTAAAATAATATAAGTGCTTAGACGACACAACAAAATAGGAAATTGACATTGCCACCTTAGAAAATCAAGTTATAAAAAAGTATTAGAAGTGTAAGTGTGCAAAATATTACACCAAGCAATGAATAAGAGTGCACAGATAAAACAGAAGTGTGTTTCTCAGAGTCCATATGACCACATGAATAGATTTGAAAACCATATATTGAAGTAAAATTGCTAACAAGTTTATGTGACTAAAACCAAAGTTGTGCATGTTTGTGATGACTGCAATTTTATATCAAGCAGCGAATAGAAGTACAAAATCTTACAATGACTGCAATCTTAAATAAAGCTATAAAGCAAGGTGTACATGAAATTAAATCTACCTAAGGAAAGAATAGAGTTGTAGCAGCTAATGCCAACAACATGACAAATGCCTAATAAAGCTAATGAATTAAATAGACCAACTTTTACCAAAGAAGAAAATTTAATAACTGCACTGATTTAGATAACTAAACTACCTGATATTTGAACAAAATTGCATGACGCATGGACTATTTTAGTAAAATGCTGCTTCTTAATGTGCTTTTAATTCATTTCTGGAAAGATAAATGACGGATTCATGTATTACCAATCGTTGCAGATCTTTCCAAATTTGTTATCACCAAAAGCAACCCAAACTCATAAAACTTCTATCCTATTGTACAGAAGAGTCGCCTTGAAATCCAAGGAGAATATTGTAACGACCCGGCTTGTCGTTTCATGAGTTACCGCTCCATTTTCCTCATTTCTGCTTCTTTATGTGTTGTTCAGCTACATTTCATCGTATTGCGTTGGTTGGTTTTAGTTCGGAGTGGTTTTGTTGAGAAATTAGACACTTAGTCTCTTTTTGGGAAGCTTTAGTTGGAAAAGTCAACCGGAAGTTGACTTGTGAGTAAATGATCTAGGAACAGATAGCTTAGTGAAGTGATTTGGGACTTCGGAGCGTGATCGGAATGTATTTTGGAGGTCCGTGGTAGATTTAGGCTTGAACTGGAGAAATTAGAATTTTGGCATTTTCCGGTTGGTAGTGGAAATTTTGATATCGGGGTCGGAATGGAATTTTCGGAAATTGTAGTAGGTCCGTTGTGTCATTTGGGATGTGTGTACAAAGTTTCAGGTCATGCGGATGAGGCTTGATAGGTTTTTGGATCGATTGCAGAATTCGGAAGTTTGGAAATCCTTAGGCTTGAATCTGAGGGTGAATTGGTGTTTCGATATTGTTTAGAGTGTTCCAAGGGTTGGTATGAGTTTGAATGGTGATAGGTGACTTGTTCGTATTTTTGGTTGAGGCCCCGGGGGCCTCGGGTTGATTTCGAAAGATTGTCGGAAAGATTGGAATTGAGTTTGGGCAGCTTCAGCTGCTGTTCCTGTCATAACTGTACCTGCGGATTGGGGACCGCAGGTGCGGACCC